GGTTCAAAAAAAAGTTTTAGTAATGTGTGGTAGAACCCAACTGAGAGCAGTGGAGACAAGATCAAACTGTAGCTCACCATTACACAGAAGGAGAGGATAGTGCGTGCATTTTATTTAGCTTCAGATGCTGATTTTCCGTATTTTTCTACTCTAAAAATAGGCACATAAGATCTAAGCATCACAATGTTTCCCGCTAACTAAAAGGGCAGGTACATGATGAGAACAATTCACACCAATAAATTAGATGAAGCTCTGTACCAGTTCATTTGCAACATACATACAACCTATTTCTGGAACCATAATTAGTTCAAAACACTAAAAGGAACACTTATCAATTATTATCAAGCAAATGACTGGATAAGAAGTGAAAGGAGATTACCACTTTAAATTTGGCTTTCCATCACTATATTCATTCATCTTTTGCTGCTAGCCAAATCTGAATATATCAGATCAACAAAAGTAGACATGTCGTTAAATTCATAAAAAAGTAGTTATTAGTTTCCAAAAGCACCAACAGGATACAAGAAAAAGACATGCCGAAACACTGCCACTGAGCTATGAAGACTCCATCCAAAAGTACAGCTACGCCACTCAGCAAATGTAATCATGTTACAACATTTAGCTTCTTGCATAGGAAATAAGGATCATCTTGGAGTGGCCTCAAGGAGATATTAACTTCTTTCAACTTAGTAAATAATGTAAAACTAATCCATGCCGATGAAGCAACAAATAGGTACTGTTAGCTTCGTTACTTGACATGCAACTAACAAACGTTAAATTTTCAGGCAGTGAAAAAAATATTAACAGCAAAGCATGAATAAGAAAATTGTGTTATTGTGGTAATCAGCAGAGACCTAAAAAGTAGTTATCTAGCCAATTAGACAAAAGACATTGATTTGAGTATACCTGCACTCAGATCTTTCATAAACTATCGTTTGTTCTTGGTCTGCATCATATGAACCCAAAGTAAGTTTTCCCGTTTACTCTTGTCTTTTCAAGGAACATGGTTCTAGGAACATGACAAAGGAAGTGAATTGGTAAAATTTCCCCCAAAAACATTAGCCATGGAATGTACACAACAGGAGCATACCAGGCTGAATCTCAAGATGGTGTAGCCTAGCTGAATGGGGAGGTGATTCCTGACCTGTCTCCACTCACTGGTGAGGAAGGAAGCAAAAAATTAAAGATGGGAAAGATAAAGAAAGTGGACAGCTAAAATCCAAGGAACAAATGCTCAGCAACCAACCAAAATACCCAAACAAAATTCCAAAGATGTAGCAGAGGCAAGAAGAAGCCAAAAGAGAAATAGGAGATGCAAAGAAGACAAAATCTAAGACAAAAAAAATAGTGTGATCAGATCCATGGGTGTAGGCGCTCACCTCAACTAAAGCCACACTTGTAAACCTTGAAGTCTCACAAACCTGTAGAAACCAGGGGCTGGCGGTGTGGACAGATGGGGAGGCTAATCAAACCGAGAGGAGGAGCTGATGAGAGTGAAGGGAATGAGAAAGGTCGGACATAGCTGGGACTGGAGGAGCAGCATCATGCAACCACCTGAAAACCATCAGATCTGATAAAGAACACATCTAGCTTGCAGCAAAATCAGTGGAGGAAGGAAGGATTGGACCTTATCGGTGGAGATGATCTTGATCTCGAGGTGTCCTGATAGCTGGAGAGAGAGAACTTGTCGGGCCACTCGCCGAGGAGCACGCCATCCGTTTTGGCGGCGGCGATTGAACCCTAGTCGGTCGCCTCTGCCGGCGGCGGAGGAAGGAGGTGGCGTCGCGAGGATGGAGGGACGGCGGCACCTTGCTCCAGCCGGAGGAGGGGAGTAGGCGGCGTGCACAAGAAGGAAGGGGATCAGACCACCGAGGGGAGGAGGAGACGTGCCTGCGAAGGAGAAGGGGAGGACGAGGGAGTGGGGCTCGACACGGTGCTGACTGCATACGAGCATGAAACCTCAGGGAGGTGTTACCTGGGCTAGATAGATCCTGCGACAGTAAAATTCCACGTGGCATAGGCGAGCGAGCGCCCTTTGCGCGACTCGTAAAGGGTTCAATGTTATCATGCCTACGACGAACACTGGATAGTTAAGTGCGGAGAGAATAACTCATGAGTAGCTACTGGTGTCTCAATCCAGCATGACTCCAACAACAGTGTTTGGAAATGTCGCTCTGCACATGGTTTTAAAAATTCATGTATAGAATCAGATTTTTGACGAGTTTTATTTTTCCAATTATTCCATCATTGTTTAAACAGGATAATGGAATTTCCGTGAGAATCACTTTGATATTACTAGTAATGACTAATGAACATAAGAAATTGTGAAATACTTTGTCAATGTGTTTCCATAGAAAATAGACTAAAAGATGGAAGAAAATCATCATATATAAGGGAACACCAACTACGAGAACCAAACCATGTCCATTGGAGGCGCCACAAGAGCAATAGAGCAAAATATGACGCTTGCTACATCTGTGCCCAATGGTACCAGCGGTCGTACCAGCCGCCAGGAGCACCGTTGTGTTCAACAGATCACACTTTATAAAGGGTCCATGCATAATTCATGAAGGAGCGACAAACAAAGCGATTGCCGAAAAATATGGTCATATCAGTGGTTCTGTTAATATCTAGATGTGGTTGTCACTTACCAATGTTTTTTTTCTATATGGAGTTGGTGTTTATGCTTTTATGAAGCATTCCCATTTATGTTAATTACCCTTTGAATGTTTTTTCTACATGGTAGGCCGCAACAATTAGAAATATTAAGACATCCAAATATTGTTCTATTCATCAGTGTTGTTACTGAACCCCCATACATACCAAAAGTTATGGAATACTTGTTGAGGTATTTATATGCATTTCATTTGTTACCGAACCTCCAAGGACAGACCCAGATCTTCATTGCCGTTGCTATCGCCATCAAGCACCCGGCCCTCCCATGCGTCTACCTCAAGCCGCTCCACAATGCCTTGCCTTCCAGCGCCTCTCCATCTCTTTGGCCTGGCCCGGCAACTGCTACCAAGGAGAATGACATCACACCAACACTTGGACCCAGTCCCAGCCGCCCACACCAGAAGAGTGTTGCTGATCGCGACATTGTGCCCTAGCCGAGCCCCCCCACTCTCCCAGACCCAAGCACGTCGCCGCCCTTGATGTCATGGAACTGCAACCGCTCGTTGCTCACCTCATGTTCCTAGACACGACGCGACAATGATGCATCCAAATCCAAATTCCTCGACGCGACACATATGCTCACGAGGACCCGACCAGTGTCATCCTTCTCGTTCCATTGTTGCATGTAGAAGGTCACATCGATGGTGCCGTGGACTTATCATGCACTCTTGGAGCCAACCACCGAAGAATCAACCAATGCAGATGTTTCTTCACTATTGTGTATTTCGTGGATTTTGGGAATACCTCAGTCGGAGCTCGAAACAAAATGAGGTTAGCTTGCTTATTTAGAAAAAAAAGGCTAGATATGTTGGTGCAATTGAGTGCCCCGAGAGTATTGGAGATTGCTGGATAGAAACAGTGAGGGACTAATGTGTTTGCTAGTGCACACAAAGAGAATAGGTCTCGTATGGTTATTTCACCCTCGGGATTGCTCCGGCTATAAATAACCAGCCCCACCTACCATTATGGTCGGTGGCTTAGTTTATTTTTTGAGAAGATTGTTTGAGCACCCCTCTAAAAAATATGAGTGAATCCACGGAGAGAAAACCCCAAAGCCCAAAACTTGGATAGTGGCCGAGCATCACAGAGATCTAAGTAGAAAGTTTGAACCTATTGCTCTTGAAAGCTGCTAACTCTCTAGACGGTTAGATGTCTGTTTGAGTGACCAAGAGTAATTGTTTCCGAAGACAAAGTCTTTGAAGGTTATGGAGATCGTTTGAAGTATCTGTCGAGAGTAAATTGACACAAGTTGATAAATTTTGCCAAGGAGAATAGGATGGTGGGAGTTTTACTCACGTATTCAATCACAAGTCCCTCTAACCAGACGTAGCTCTTTTGCAAAAGAGGGAATTGGTCGAACAAATAACTTGTCGCCATCGAGCAACACTAGTTTCATCTCGCCTCCGTATTACCCTTATGTAGTTTACTTACAATAATGTTGTCTGTGAATAATTTACTTTCTGTGCTCTATCAGCTCTCTCTTGAAAGCTTACCTATATGTTTCATCATGTTTTTCTTTGCAGTAGATTTGCATATGTTAAGTTTATTTTTTTGTGTGTTATACCGAGACATTTCAAATTTTGAAAGAAATTTTAAATCTACTATTCACCCCCCCCCCCCTCTGTTCGATATGCTCCGGTCCTACAAGATAGACAAAGAATTCCGGAAAATGCCAAACAGAGACCGAGCTTCATGGAGGCCCTAATTTAAGAAGTTCAATTTTCAAATCTTTCAGTTTCAAAAAATTCTTAAAAAATTACACACGTACCTAGAGATATAATGTACATGTGTGTACATTTTCAGGTCAATACCCGGAAAAAAATGAGGTCAAAATGCGTTAAAACGAGAGCAACAAAAAAAAATCGAATCTGAGGCTTGTTTTTAACATACGTAATGTTCATCCACAAAATCCATGATTTTATCTGAAGCTCGCAATTTAAGGTATTTCATTATAAAATTTTACATGCGTACACCTCGTTGTATACATGTGTATTTTCCTCAGTTTTTTTTAACTAAAAAGTTTGTCTTTTGATTTTTTTTTCAAAATTAAGGCCTCCATGGAGATCGGTACCCAAAATGCTCTACTCAAGATTTCCGAGAAACTTCCCCAAAAAGTGACAATTCCGATAAACCAGGCCGGATTTCCGAACGTAACTGGGCCATACTTTCAGACGTTGGCGACGCATATTTCTGGGCCCAAACACGCTGTGGCTCTAGCTGCTTCCCAATCCAGCCTCACCTCACCGCCGCGGTCGCCTTATCCGCCGCGCGCGGTGCAGCTTCTCCTGGATTTTCCCCAGCTAGCCAGAGCCACAGCTACAGCAATGGAAGCTCTCGCCTCGTCGCCGCGGGCTCTCTTCGCCCGCACCGCCACTCCGACGACGGCGCTGGCCACGCCAGCAAGATGGACGCCGTCATCGACCAGGCGTGTCAAGGCCGCCGCCGCCGCCGAGCCGGCCGGCGAGGCCAAGCCGGCTGCGGCAGCCGCGTCGCCGGCGCCCAAGAAGATCCTCAAGAAGAAGCCCGTCTACTCCAGTAAGACCGATGCTTCGAAATACGCACATTGTTCATTCAGTTCGAGCTATAATATCTCGTGCTTGCCGGTGCGCGTGTGTCCCTATTACTTAACTGAACTTGATTTGCATCTGTTTCTTCTGTGCAGTGAAGAAAGGGCAGATCGTGCGCGTCGAGAAAGAGAAGTACCTGAACAGCATCAATGTGAGTGTGTATCTTATCAAGTTATCATACGCGTGATACGCCGTAGTGGATGGATGCACTCGAAATTTCGATCAAATTTCCACTGTTTGTGATTAAATTTGCCCTTTTCTCTGAACTGGACTGGGGCACGGCTATCTCTGTAACAGAATTTCAAACCCTGTCTTCAAGAAATTTTGTCTTGATTGCACTGGCGGTGAATAGCTTCACTTGCTGGCCTTTAGTGACCGTCTGTGGTTTGTTAAATTTCAGTACCTGTCGGTGGGGCACCCACCCTTCTACAAGGGGCTAGACTACATATACGAAGACCGCGGCGAGGTAATTACCTTCACTGATCCTAGCTCTCCATGTCGCTCTCGTCAATATGTTATCTATGAAGCTCTCATCAGTCAGTTAACATCACTTGTTCAAGTTTCAGTTTACTAATCACCAAATTATCACGTGCAGGTTTTGGACATCAGAATCTTCGAAGAAACCGGAGAGTATGCTCTGGTAATTATACATAGCTGCTTTCATCCTTTGTTCTAGTTCACCGTTCTTAATTTGTTCCTCAACTTTAGATGGGTCTAAATTAATTATCCATTTTTTTAAAGGGGAGTACCCCGGGCTCTGCATCACACGATACACACAACCATATTATTAAACATGAAATAAGTTCAAGTCACGAGTGCTCCAAAGGAAAACAAATAAACAGAAAAATACGACCACAAGCAGTTGAACCCGAGATTACATAACTCATCCACCTAATCTACGAGTGGCTCGCCAGCCAAACTGGTTGAACAAACCCTACGCAACCATTTCCAGTTGCACACAAAGGCCATAATTGCCCACACGCTGCAGTGATGACCATATACGGATTGAAGCTATAGCTCTGTAGATAACCTGCAAGAAATTTTGAGTAGATGATCTGTTAAAGATGAAATCATTCTGGCATATTGCCCAAAGAATGGCACAAACTCCCACATGGATTTGGCCTTTGAACTTATGATGAATTCCACCTAATCAGTTTCCAAACATATTTGAAATACTCGTTGGTGTTGCTAAATTGTATGTAACATGAACCGTACGCCAGATCAATGTAGTAAACGGGCATGACAGAAAACAAAATAATGAATTGTCTCCTCCTAATCACAAAACAATATTTTTTGCTGCCATGCCAATTACGCTTAGCAAGGTTATCTTTCGTAAGAACTACCTCCCTCTGCAAAAACCACATGAAAACTTTGGTCATGGAAGGAATCTTTGTTTTCCAAATATCTTTCCTGCGTAAAATTGGTCCAGAATCCATAAGATCCACATACATAGACTTCACGGGGAGACACCATTAGTGGTTAACCTTCACTGAAATGAATCTGGCATCTAAGTTAGATTAATTGACATCAATCTAGAACCCAAATGGATCCACTTAGTACATTTATTGCCCAATAATGCCCTACGAAATTGGATGTTCAAAGGGCTATCCCCAAGAATAGAGCCATTGAGTCCTCTTTTGTTAACACAATATTACATGGGGTTGGGTATTGTAGAGCTAATGGCGTGTCATCCAACTATGTATCTTCCCAAAAACTCATCGACTGTCCGTCACCAATCTTAAAGGAACCTCTCTTAAAAAAGGATGACTTGACTTTCATCAAGCCCCTCTAAACGGTGAATCGGTAGGCTTAGCATCTACTTGGAATAACATTTTGGACTTCATGTATTTGTTATGCAACAACTCTTGCCAAACAACTTCCTCATTAACTACCTTATACAACCATTTGCTGAGTAAGCACTTGTTTTTTATTTCGAGATTCTTAATGCCCATCCCACCTTGATCCTTAGACCTACATAGAATGTGCCATTTAACAAGTTTATATTTTTGTTTATGTTCCTCGATTTGCCAAAAGAACCTGGACCGATAAAAGTCATAGCCTTTTCAACACCCCTTTAGGTATCTCAAAAATGTATAACATGAACATCAGTGGACTAGTAAGGACAACGTTGATGAGGGTAAGTCGTCCCCATATGACAAGAGCTTGCCCTTCCAACTGTTGAGCTTCTTTTCAAAGTGGTCTTCAATAATTTTCCATTCCCTGTTGGTGAGCTTACGGTAATGAATGGGAATACCGAGATATGTAAATGGAAGGGATCCGACCTCACAGCCAAATATTTGTGCGTACTGGCTCTCCTCCTCTTTGGCCTTACCAGAACAGTAGAGATCACTTTTGTGGAAATTAATTTTGAGGCCCGGAAAGTTGTTTTAAGAGACACATAATCAACTTCATATTAATTGCCTTTTGAAGGTCATGTTCCATAAAAAGGGTTGTGTCATCCGCATACTTCATATTAATTATCCGTACATGTCTCGATCAATTTCCTCCTGACCGAATTACGGATTTATCTTATGTAGATCGCGTGGGTAGGGATTCCAACACCACCAGCATGGCTCCCAACTTATATGCTCATCAAGGTATGGTCTAACTATCATTAATTATAAAACAGTACTTCCTAGTCACCCATTCTTCTGGACATAGACATGGTTTACTATGCGATCATTTGGCCGTTTTCTCCTAATTATATGATTATAAAAAATGAACATCTAATGGTGTATACCTCCCTTGAGAAGAGGCAATATATTTTGTTTGGGGTTATGTTTATGATTGGAGTTTGTTTCTTGTGCAGTCAGACAAACTCGACTATGAGAGGATATGATCGCCGGATGAGCGATTGCGGGGGAGAACAATGTTTTGTGCATAAATTGATGTCGCTATGTGGTGATGTTGTGACATTGCTCCATGGATACAAGATTAAGCAGTTGTAAATCGAAGAAACAATAGTGAAATATATCCAGAGTTGTTATATTTTAGCATTTTATTTTTCACCTTTTCAACGTTTGATGTCGTTGACAATCACATACCACCAGTTTTAACCTCAGCATGCCTGAAATAAGACGCATTTAAATTAGGCTACGTCTAAATGGTTTGAATTGACGGGGTTTTGAACCATTTGATTATTATTTTTTGAATATTTTGACCCAGTAGTCAATTTAAATTGCTACCTTCCTAACTTCTATTTTTCCCCTTCCATTTAGGGCATGTTTGGACATGTACTTCATCATTTTGGATGGGTCGAAAAATTTGTTCATTCTTCTAGCCTGTGTAGGAAGAATATATCTAATTCAATCACACACAAACAAGTTTTTTTAGCTAGGCCTCTCAACCTAACCATACCAAACACTTCACCACACATACAAGAAAAAGTTATCTAGTGCGCATGCGCAAGTTGAAACAAATTGTTGTTGTGTGCATGATTTGGTGAGGAAATCGAGAAGGAGTACAACTAACATGCTATCTGGATGCAAAATATGTAATCCTTAAATTTTTTATAAGCCATATATGGTTCTTCTTATGTTAAACTTTTTATACCAAATGAATACGCTATAAATCTATAAAACAGTCAACATCTACAATAACAAATAAATGCAGTATGGAAATATATTTCATGGTAAATCTAATGTCATTCGTATGGTATTATAGACATTTTTCTTGTGTGTATAAAATTAGTCAAATTAGAAATGGGGTGCCTTAAGACAAACTAGATATGCTTTATCAGCCAAAGAGAAGGGAGTATAGTTACAAGTTTTCAAATTTAAGTTTGGACATTTTATTTCTAACAAGCTAAATTCTTGTTGGCTGCCACAGAGTAAGAAAATATCTTGAGAAATCAACATGGAGACCTTCTATTACAAGCATAAGTGTGAATCTAAATTTTCTACCGCCTCACAACAAGCGTTGATGTCCTCGTCTCGACCGACTACTTTGTTGCCTTTGGTTTATTTCCTTCCCTTTGTGTTGTCTTCCATATCATGCAAGACAAATTTTCTCATGAATTTAATCTCTTTTATTCCATTGGCTTACCAAATATTGTTTGACATTGCATGTTCAAAAAATAAGCATGCCAAGGAAGAGTTTAAGATGGGCGTTTAGGATTCTCATATTGGCCCATAAAGTCACTTGGTCATAAATGCTCTTGCATACATTGACTCCTTTTGTCTAGGTTTTCTAATATGCAATGGTTTATTAGAATCCTAATATGCAATATCAATTGAAATGGAGGGTGTATCGTATTAATTAAAACTGCTAGACCTTACTATGTTGGAAAACTCTATGCTAGAAAGCTCTATTAAGATATTTGTTAGACAAAGTATACAAAAGAGATTTCTTAGATCTTAGGTTTACTTACAAGCTTTTACTAAGGCACTTATAGATACTATATATAATAGTCACAAAAATATATAGCCACAATATGACACACCTAAGTGGCACAACTTACTCCATAGTCTACTTTCACTGTGTTGTCGTTTTAGTCTTTTAGGCTTTGTGTATATTCGTCTTATTTTAATAAAATGCCTTAGAATAAAGTTAAAAAATAATAATATTGTGCATGGTGAAATAGAGTTGGATCTTAGTGTTAGTGTATTAGATTGGTGTTTATTTGTGTAAATCAGATATTTAAGATTATGCCATTGAAAATTGTATATGTTTTAAGTCAAAATGGATATATAAAATAAATAACATTAGTATGAATAAGTGAGAATATTTATTTTTTAAATATTATAAGCAAATCAGTTCTTTTCAAACACACTGGAAATTATTGTTTAAAATGCATCACTAAGGTGTAAATTATGCGGAGGGACATCCTCGGACGGTAAGCCATCGAGCTCGCCTACATCATTGAGTCGCATAGGATATCACCCTTGGTCTTTTAGTATTCGAGTTGAAGAAGTACAAGAATTCTATAACTACCAAAAACTTTCAATCTTTTCAAGATGCATGCCATGCCTAGATTTGTTGGAACCATCACGCTTGAGCGGGAACATTATGGAAAAAGAGAGAAGAAGCGGGGAAATGGCTGGGAATATAAGGGCATGGCCAATGCTCCATGTTGGACGGATGCCCCAGTTGCCACATCGATCAAAAGTGGTCCAAATGGGTTTAATCATCTACTTTTGGAGAGAACCCGCCTCATGCAGAGGAACCGGTCTCTTCGCTGACAAAAAGATGGAGAAATGGGAAAAGAGAAGAGAGAGAGAACCAAAAGGAAGAGTGAACCGGTGGAGATGATGAAAAAGCATGAAGAGGAGAGTGGGGGACCGTCCATGGGTGATAAAAGATACTAAAAAGGAGGGAGGGTGAGGACCTAGTAGAATATTGTCTATTTTGTACATGCAAATTGAAAGGATCGATATAGTTGACTAGAGGGGGGGGGGGGTGAATAGGCAACTAAATTTTTTTAAGCTTTTCTTTACCAAATTAAACTTTGCAACAAAATAGGTTGTCTAGATATGCAACTATGTGAGCAACCTATATGATGCAATAACAACTAGCACATAAGCAAGCAAGGGATACAACACAAGTAAGCTTGCAAAAGTAAATGCATGAAATAACCAAGAGTGGAGCCGGTGGAGACGAGGATGTGTTACCGAAGTTCCTTCCTTTTAAGGGGAAGTACGTCTCCGTTAGAGCGGTGTGGAGGCACAATGCTCCCCAAGAAGCCACTAGGGCCACCGTATTCTCCTCACGCCCTCACACAATGCGAGATGCCGTGAATCCACTATTGGTGCCCTTGAAGGCGGCGACCGAACCTTTACACACAAGGTTGGGGCAATCTCCACAACTTAATTGGAGGCTCCCAACGACACCACGAAGCTTCACCACAATGGACTATGGCTCCGAGGTGACCTCAACCATCTAGGGTGCTCAAACACCCAAGAGTAACAAGATCCGCTAGGGATTAGTGGGGGGAATCTAATTTCTCTTGGTGGAAGTGTAGATCGGGGCCTTCTCAACCAATCCCGAGCAAATCAACAAGTTTGATTGGCTAGGGAGAGAGATCGGGCGAAAATGGAGCTTGGAGCAACAATGGAGCTTTTGGGGAAAGAGGTAAGTCAACTTTGGGGAAGAAGACACCTTTATATAGTGGGGGAAACAATCCAACCGTTACCCCCCCAAACAGCCACACACAGAGTGGTACTACCGCTTGGGCAGGGCGGTACTACCGCTGACGAGTGGTACTACCGTTCCCTCCCAGCGGTACTGTCGCGCTGACGAGGGTTGTAAAGTCCTGGAACCAGAGCGGTACTACCGCGGAAGTACGGGCGGTGCTACTGCTAGGAGAAGTACTACCGCCACTACTGCCGCACCTAGTACCGTAAAACCCGACACGAAAAACATCGGTCTCGAGTCGAGGCGGTAGTAGCCCAGAACCACTGCGGTACTACGGCCGAAGACCGCAAGCGGTACTACCGCTTGACGTGCTTCGGCGGTACTACCGCCGAGGACCGCTGTACTACCGCTGCGACAGGACAGGGCAGGCACGGAGAGGAAAGATGGCTCCAATGAAGCGGAAAGGAACATTGGGTGTGAAAAGGATGTGTACGTGTTGATTCCACCCTAGACTTACCAAAGCGGATCCCCTCTTGATAGTATGGTGACTCCTACGAAACTAGTCCACCAACAGAGAAACGAAGGAGCTACACCGTCTTGAATAAAACACCGAGGGGAGGTAATCGTCTCGTGCCAAAGGATGAATCTCTGAAAGAACTCAACGCAGACGATTAGTACGCAAAAGCATTGTCATCAATCACAAAACACCTTGGGGAAAAATATGCCTTTACAATCTCCCCCTTTTTGGTGGATTGATGACAATACGGGATTTGCACAGGAAGAAAGCGCAAACCCCACAGCTCACAAATGTAGATGAGCTCCCCCTAGATGTGTGCTTATCTTAGAAAGGTGCTTTGGACTGCACAGCACACATACTAGGATCAACGCTCCCCCTACATTTTGGAGACCAACAACCTAAGCAATATATATGAGAGCAAAGAGTATATAACACGATAAGCATGCAACTCAGAAGCTAGGTAGACATAGATAAAGATAATCTAGAGATAGGTAGCATATGTCTCACACCATATGTCTGGAACTTAGGTCTCACTGACACAAAACCAACCAAAGCAAACAGCGAGAAAGCACACCACAAAGAAGACACACTCACGAAACAGACAACGACGACACAAATCCCTAAACTCTCTCCCCCTTTGGCATCGAGACACCAAAAAGAGAGGGAGTGAAGCTACGGCTCCAGGTGATAGCAAGGTCGGGAACATCAGATCTCAGCACAATCGTCTTCGCCACCGTCGTCGGTCGGTAACTGCTCGGCATCAGAATCTGTCCACGGGCAATGCTGCTGAACCCAGTCCTCCTCCTCAGTAAGCTGGTCCTCAGATCCACTGATGACTGTAGCACCCTTCTGACGCATGAGCTCCTTGTGAAGACCTCTGGCCTTCTTCTTAGCAACATGAGTCATGTACTGGTCGTGATACTCCATGCAGAATAGCTTATTTACCTTG